AGCCGATATGCAGGAGAGCTTGAGTGTCATGGCATCTCCTTGAACAGGTATCTCCAGAATTAAACAAGAAGATAAGGGACAAGTGAAAACGGTTGCGGCGTCTTCTTCGACGCGTCCTCTGAATGGCGGCAGTGAGTCAAATATTTGTTGTTGTGTCGGAGGAGAGTTCCTCAAAGACACGGGGATCCAAACTGGCAGCTTGTCATGCAGCACAATAACAAATCCGCCGACCTGCCTCCCTTGGCCATGCAGCACTCGGCAACTTTTTCGGCCGTTTTTGCATCTACGTTCCAGCACCCTTCAGTGAAGCAAGACTCTGGTTGCAACTGGGCATTCGAAACGGAATACATCGCCATCACGCATGCGATTAAGAGATAGCCACGAGCGTTAACTCTCATTCTTGGTCGAGAAAATTCAATGCCTGGAAAAAAGGGAAGTGGTGTTGTCCAATCCGAACAAGGACTCAAAAGATAATGCGTCGTACTTTAGCCGACAACGGTCGTCACAGCATTTGAAAAGGTCGTCCAGTAATCTGAATACGGTCGCGACTAAACCTGATACTTGTAAGCCGTAATCCGATGAAGGTCGTGACTGATTTTATCGAGATTTGACAGAATGATGCTGAAGATTGCTTACAGAAGTCCCTTCAATAACACTTAAAGTTAGTCTTTTATCTGCCCCTAAAGCGGGATAGGATTGTCTAAAGACATGAATGCTCTATGATGTGGCCGGGATGAGATTGCCTAAAGACATGAATGCTCTATGGTGTGGCCAACACATATTATTTTGTAAAGGCTACGATGTTACGCTTTTATGAAAGCAATTTTTAATTGTACGATTTTATTGGACGAAAGCTACAAAATACTGTGCGTCGCTACACTCCTGGACACAATTATACGGCCACCTCGTCGAGTGCCCATAACTCAGTCAATTTTTATTATTTGACGGGGCGGTTTTCACACAAGTTCCAAAACATGCTTCAAAATAGCAAGGATGGGCTAACGCTCGCATTTTTGCACTTTATAGGGAGGCTCACATACAAAAAAAGAGAGGTGTCAAAGTGGACACAATTTACGGCATTCATCGGCCTTTTACAAAAACCCAAATTAAATAAAACATGTGTCATTTTGGCTGACTAGAAATTTGTATGGGCTTAGTTTCTGTGGGCGATTACATAAGGCTCTCCCTACGTTCACCAATATGTGTGCATAGAGCAGACGAGAGTGATTCAGAATGCCTCAAAACGCTACTGGTTCTTGTGTGGAATTTAGAGATTTTACTACTATTATGTAGCCACACAAGTGACTTGCAGCACACTCCTCAAACCCACTTAGTGTTAAGCCCAAGATAAATTTGAAGATCTTTCTCACTCATAGACCAAATATTGATTATTTATGCTAAGTATCGACGTTGGTCACTACGCTATCCAATATTTATGAGAAATGCTTGTACCTCTCAAATGCTAGTTGCTTCGGATCCAGTTTATCATCGTGGGCAATTGGAATGCTTGCATCGGAAAAATGTGCTTCGCACCAGTGACAAATACCATTGCACGGTCAATACACCACAGCTGTGTCCATCACACTGGCGCCATTCATTAAATGTTCTAACTTGCGTCT